AACTCATCCACCTAAAGAAGCAATGAGATTCAGATACCTAGGCATCACCCCCTCTCTCAGGTTTCCACCTCCCTGCTTAAGCTTTTACCATAAGGCACTTATAGAAACTTTCTAAATGTCTCCTTTATCTATAGGGAGTGGTCTATGACAACCAAGTTTGTACTACTTCCTCCTGTACAGATAATCTGGAATAGATCTGACATACAACCTAAGTTTGGCTAATGAGATTAAAGCTTCCAAGAAGTTCAAATTGAGACTTTTAAAACAAAGTTAGTTTTGACAGGTGTCTTAAACAAAGAATAGCTAAACCCTAGAAATGGAGACCATCTGCTACCCTGTGAACCTAGAAGAGAAAACCAATATAAAGAGAAACAGATAAAGCAGACAGACAGACAGACAGAGCTGCTTTTTTTTTCCTTATAGGTTTTTATTTCTTAGGACCAGTTCTTTCTTTATACTCGTTTCTATTCTGCTATGGGGTTTCCTGATGCACATTCACAAATTCCTCATTTTAGCTGAATTAAGCAAGTTTTAGTTGACTTCTCAAGTTGGTTGGTTATATACAATCAAACAATTCCAATTAACATGCCACTGTGCTTGACCTGCCCTGACATGAGTTCAACTGCAGGGCAAGGGAGTAGGGAGATAGCTCTGAAATTCTATCCAACACTTTCTTTATGATAAATACGGTTCTCTTAGTAATAGAAACACCTTTGATTCTATACAAGATGTACAGAATTAATATTGTATTGCCTATAGATCAGTCTGGAGTAAGGAATTGACAAGTTCCTAAAATATCTGACCTCCTTTTCTCTCTCTTTTTGGATAAATCTTAGGGTTTAAAAATTATAGAAATAACTTTTGTTCAGATAGCAGCAATAACAGTAACCCTAAAAAGAAAATCTGTTTCCCTCTGGCTTCCCAAGCAGATGGAAGATGTTAAGAAAACCTGCAAGGGAAACATCAGTGATTCTGCATGCACTGTGATTCAGAATGTGCTTAAAATACAGATGCAGAAGATGGTTCAGGTACCTTTTCTCAGTGACTTAAAAAAATCAGTTTCAGTGATTGCATTCAATTAAACCACCATTGTAGCTTATGTCTTTGATGCCAATTAGTACTCTACAGTTCAGCAGTTTGACTGAATCCAGCTTTAGTTATTTTTTATGAAATAATTTTGGCCTGAAATACTAGTTGTTTATCACTCTAAATTTGAATATATTCTTTGCTTTGTCAATTAGATGATACACTGGAAGAAGCACAATCTTTTAAATATCTTTAAACCATTGCTTAAGTAAGCATACCACACACCTGGTTACAATGTGAGCAAGATTAAATTTTAACAAACCAACAGTTCTCTTTAATTTTATACCAATCATCTGATGAGCTTCCAGTGCCTGGCTACTTCACCTCCTGCTCCTATAAACTGGAAGCAGAATCTTCCTCCACACCGATAACATGGTTTTACTATCTCAAACTAAAAAGGAGCATACAAAGAAATGTATCCTGGTATCTAATTATGTCAAAAAGAACTAATTTAACAACAATTTTATCTATACAAAAATTATACTTTGGGATAGCCACTATTCAATTTTAAATGGGCATTACTAAGTAATTCCATCAAATGGGTCAATTTTTTTAATTCCTTGAGAGTACATTTTGTAGTTCACTGATCCTGGCAGACAATCGAGAAGGCCACACTGTACAAACTTGGCAGTTGTCTTATAAAGCTCATTATTTGACAACTGGCAATAGCTAGGCTAAAAACCTTCTAATATATACTATTTTTTGTTATGTACAATAAGCAGCTCTGGTTCTAGTCAAGCACATCTGGGTTCTTCAGAAAATTAAAAATTGGTCCTGGGCAAACCTTGTTTTGGCCAATGTCTTCCTTGCACTTTTGGTGTTAGGGAGGTGGGACAGCTGTCCCACCAGGTGAGAACACTGACTATCATCAACATATCCAACTCATCTGGTTTCCAATTAACAACATAACATAGCTGTTTTCTAGGCTCCTAACAGCTAACAAAAGCTCCAAAACTCTACTTCCACCTGCTATTAATTCCCTGCAAAGAGCAATGATATGTATGTAAGTCTGCAGATTGTATGTGTGCTTCATAGAGCCACTGGGACTCTTCAAGGTACTTCCGTGACCAGTAAGCAAGACTAAGGAAGTAGACCGGCCAGAGCTATGCCAATCCCTTCAAGCCAACAGCTCTTGTTTTTTAACAGATTGAAATGTTAGATTTCTGAGTAGGATATTTTTGAAGATAGAGTCTTAAAACTAGAGTATAAGGGAGATGTTCTTCATTTATTCTTCAGAGTATGGTACATCCCCATATCATCAGGGATCAAAAGAGTTATAAATCTAAATCAAGGATGATTATCTTCCTCCTTGAAAACATCCTTAATGAAATATACTTTCAGTGTTATGAGAGTTACATCATTTTTTAACTTTGATTGTGGGTACAAATGCAAAACAGCCAGAGAAGACTTCTGCTTTTGCTGTAAAATTTTGTTAAATAACATTGCTCATTTGGCTGTCAAAGTAGCATATGACACCTTTCTTTTGGAAATAACTTCCAAGAAAATTTGCTCTCTCTTGAAGAATAGGTAGGCTTGCTTCTATCATATAATGAAAATTATAAATCACATTGTCGGTCCCTTTATGCTTTGATTGCTTAAGAAGCTCAAAGTTAATGATTTCATGTTTTATTCTGCTTACCATATTTGTTTCTTCCTCCTTTATTAGTTTTGATGGTGTACTTCTATTTGAACAGCTCTGTGTGTCATTTTTCTCATAAACAGAATGAACATTAATAGATAAGTCAATAATAAAATTAAAATGTGATGAATATCCTGGAAATTACTGAAAATCAATAGAATTATGTATTCTATGATCATTTGCTTATCTTCAGGTCTCTTATCCTGTATTATCAGCTACTGGAACACAATCAAGTCTCAAGCCCAGCAAAATCAATCTCCAAAGAGCTCAAAGAGATTGTCTTTTAAGTTCATATACTAAGATTTATTTATTTTCCATAACCCTCATCTGAGATATACGTAACCTTGTATTAGACACAGTTCTATTATGCTCCAATAGGTTCTTGTTGCTTTCAAGATGAAGAATAAACCTTAATAATGGCCTATAAGACCTCACATGGTCTACATGGCCTGGCCTATTGCTCTACCCTTATCTGAGACACCTACTCCCTTCAGATTTCATCTGCTCCTCAATCTCTATATTAGGGAAATGTCCACTATTATAAACTCTAAAACCAGAATATCTCCCTTTTCAGCACTCATTGCAGATTACATAATTATATTTTTGTTTGCTTATTTGATTAATACCTAAGTTCTCCAGGAAACTCTAAGTGCTATGAACGTTTTGTCTATTGTCCCCAGTAATGTATCATCGGCACCTGTCCTAAAAACAAGCACAGCAACAGCATCAGAAACACTTTGATAATGAGAAAAAAAAATCCACTGTAAAAAGTGGACAGAGCTCAAAGACCATTCATTGTAGTCTAGAGGCAAATCCTCTTAATAGCCATTACATTAAGATATTCTTTAACCGTCTTTAATAGGATCATTATATTACAGGATGGTATAATAATTATAATAATTGAAGTCATCAAGGGAAGGGTTAGGTTTTGATCTATGGTTAAGATGAAAGACAAATGCCTTTAAAATGCTTTCTTTAGTGCTTCTTTAAAAGACTTCCCTGTCTTCGGAGGTGAGCTTCAGTTCTATGGAAACTTCACTTATCTGCGTTATTCTTCCCACCTCTTAACTAGCAATACTAGATAAAGGAAGAGTTCCCCAACCTCAGGTTATCGTAAACAACCTTGTATTGCAACATTCCTCTTTTGGTCAATTTCATAATTACATAAAAATTATTTTCAAACTCCCGTTAGTATTCATATTCCCAACAAAAGGATTAATGTTATGTAATGCTTCACAAATATTCTGCCACAGACAATGTGTGTTGAATTTAAACCAAATTCTGTCTTAGGTTGCCTTTAAAGGAAAAATGCAAAAAATGCAAAAAAAAAAAAAAAAAAGAGAAGAAAAGAAAAAAAGAAGTTTCCACTTGAATTCTAAATTGAAGATGACCTTGTGCTTTTCTGAGAAACGCTGGCAGCTGAGGTCACTGGAGTGTGTTATGATAGACGGTGCAGTGCTGTGTGTGTCTCAAGGCATGTCCATTGTATGGATTAAAGCCAAACCAAAAGTATTAGGCAGCTCAGAGCATTCTATCATTTCATTTGAAAATAATGATCAAAGTCGTGGGCAATAACCATTGCAACTCTCATGAAAGAATGGCAGCATTCAATAATTCCATCACTTCAGACAGACAGTTGGGCTATTCTCAATCAAATACTATGAATCCAGTATATTCTGTGTCAGTTTCTTGTGGCAATCACAGAAACAACATTTCTGCTTTTACAGTATAAAAATCCTGTCTACATTGTGTGCATCCCTTAGCTTCCAAATGACTGAGTCATTGAGAAAAATACAAGGAAATGGAAAACACAGAAACTGAACCCTCTTTGAGTATAAATATATAGCAACCCAAATCAGCCATTTTCTTCAAGTCAGCTTACTGTTTCAAAAGCTTAAAATCCATTTCGAAACAAAATGTCTACAATCTCTTCTCTAATAACAGCATGAACAAAACACTTTCAAAGAAATATAATCTAGTGCCAATGGTTTTCAAGCCTTCTAAGTGATCTCTTCAATAGTGATATTTAACTAGAACATTTTGATTGATAGAGGCTTATTTTAAACTTTTGCTTCCTTCACGCATAGATTAATGGTAGCATAAAAATATATTTGAGATGTAAAAGCAGGTGGAAAAACTCACACTTATGATCAAAGAAGAGAACTGCTTCTAATCCTGTGTTTTCCACTCTGCCTGGGTATCTTCTATATATAGGAGGAAAAACATACCCTGTTGCTTTTAAAGTATTTAGACACACACACACGTTGTAACTTACCATTAAAATTTACAGCCCGAATATAACCAAGTAGCTCTTTCCCATCAATGGTACTCATTCGTGGACAAAGGCCAATGTATCCAGGGCAGAGATCTTTGTGCATATTGTGCAGGGCGTAAGCCATGGAATATACTGCATCAATTACAAACTGGACCTTTCCTTCCTGTTCATAAGACGAATCCCGAGCAATTCGCTCCAGCCCTGCAAAATAAAAAAGTAAAAACCATCAGTTGACGTTAGATTCCAAGAAAAGACGGCATTAGAGCTAAGATTTCCATCATTTGAGGACACTTAATGAGACACAACTATTTGATTTCACTTCTGATTAATTCTATACTTACTGAGTCAGGTTTTTAAACTGGATATTGAGTTTATTTGGAAAGAGTAAAACTATTTCATTAGCAACAAAAAGATATAAAGTAAATAAAAGATGTATAGTTTCATTATCGTTATTTCCACCTTATTGAGTCCTATTATATTGTGCATTCTAGTAATTACATAACGCTTTGGTAGTGGCTTGATCTTTTATGTAAAATGTGTAGTGTGTCATTCTTGCCATCTATCTCAGCTCCAGGAGTGTCATTTAATTAGTGGCCCAAAGCAAGGTCTTTCACCACCCACCAAATCAGTTATAATTTTTAATGTGCTCTATTTGCGAGCCTTTTTGTAACTATTATATGACAATACTCCCTTAAGTGACCCTAGTTATCTTTATAATAATCATTCAATTTGTTTTCTCTTTGAACTCAATTTTCTATTTAGAATTTCTATTAAAAAGATGCAGACACCTCAAAATGAATGTCACTCAGAATAAATGTACCTGTATTGGGGCATATTTAGGGCTGATAATTGGCACTGGAGATTACTTTTAGGTTGGTGTTTATAATTTAATATGGAATAGATATATATTTTAAATGAAATATAAATGAGAGCTCAACTATGATCCAACATTATCGTTTTGAAAGCGAGGAAACTGAGACTCATGGAGGTTATAATTACATGGGGTACATAGGGCAGGTTTGGGACGCATTCGTAGGTCTCAGACTGCAAGTCCAATATTCTCTCAATCCCCAGAAAAGTTTGGTAGATGGCAAGAATGCTGGACATGCAAGAAAAAATTATGAAAGGGACATCAAGAGTTTATTAAGGGAACAAAAAATGATCTCCTATCACTTCTACATCCATCACCAACCCTTACACAACTGGTAACACTTAGACAAAAGCAAGTATTTTAAACTTTCCATGGATGTTACTAACCTTGAATAAATTGTACTTATGTTCAACACGTATTTGTTTTCTAAACACCAATGCATATAACCTATATATTTAGAGAGTTGAATTAAAGTGGTTTATATTTGGATATTTACACTCTGAAAAACTTGTGGTTTTTTTCCTAAACAAAAATAGTGGTCAGTTTATTTTTATTCATCCAATTATTGTTTTTGTTTTTCCTTTGGCCTTAATTACTTGTGACACTGTTCCTTTTAGATGCTCTTGGTTGGTATTCTGGTCTCTGTGGTCTGTCATGATGCTGAATTCTGCTCCTCCCTGTTTGGCATGGGTTTTCTGATTTTCTCATGTCTCAACTTTTCATTCTCCAAGGCTGAGTTTCTTCATCCCCAACCTCAGAATCTGCTCATTGTCAATTTTGTCAACTACTAAAATTTCTACAGTCTAGAAATATAAATGGGAATATAAAATGTTGGCTACAGAGTCCAGAACATTAGATCAATTTTTAATAATTAGTTTAATTCATTTTGGAAGTTAGCTTTTTGGAAAATTAGCTTTCTAAATCTTTCTTGCTGTCTAAGTGTATAGTCCCATATTTCCAATGGCCTACCATATCTCTACGTAGTCTGCTGCTGCCATATCAAACAATATATGTAAAACGAGGCTATCTCTGTAGGGGATTCCCTAAAATATCCTACTGATATCTTGCAAGTTTGCGAGCACAAAGAGACAGGGAAGACTACTTCTCAAAAGGTATATTGTCTCCTTCAACCTACCTTAGCTGCATGATCTAAGCTAAGATCCACAAGACATGGGGACTATGTTCTCTCCATATCTCTAGGTTATACTTTTGTCTCCTGAGTCTTAGGACAACACTGCTTGTTCCCAGAATCTCTCATCAAGTTTCCTGTGAAAACAACCCTTTCCACTTCTGCCTAAAATTTCTCTCCCATGGCTTTAACCACGAAGTAGAGCATTCATAAATAAATATTGAAAGATGGTTACAGCAACCAAATAGATGCTGTTATTTCCTTATAGATTCTAGTCTGGTGACTAGCCACTCTTGTTAGTCCAGGACTGAGGGGGTTGTCAGGACCTAGGACCAAAATGTGAAAAGCCCTGGAAAAACCAGGATAGTTGCTTATGAAAAAAGAGGCAAATGACGAGGAAATTTCAGAGAGAAGACTAAATAACGACTTTGAGGATCAGTCCCTAGGTCTGGATGGATATCCCTGTGTTTCATTTATTTTGCATCACTGCACTTGAAAACAGAAAATGAAGACAATGGGGTTCAGGGCAGTTGTTTCCACACTGGGTTCTCTCCTTAAGTACAGATTTCTCAGTACCACCCCGGACTTGCTGGGTCAGAATCTTCCTACCTGGGACATGAAGGATCTGTCATGTCAACAACTCACCAGGAGATTCTGGTACAACCAGCTAAGTCTGTGGGCCAGCTTTAGGAAATTTCTGCTCTTCCATACAACAATCTTCAAAAATACCTCTATAGATCTATTGTTTAGAGAATTTTATGGTATTGAAGTATGAAAATAATAATTCTTTCATGATATGCACAACCCAAAGAAAATCTAATCAAATTATTTCCCTTTTCTCACTAGATGAAGAGTCAAAGAACACAATTCCCAATATTTATACATTTCAAAGCTTCCACCATGTCCTTAGACACACAGGGAGGCCTGGAGCTGATGACAAGGGTAGAAGCCAGAAAGACACGAAAGATCTGTAAATGAGAAAGTGTAACGAATTGAATGTGTTCCTCATGAGAGGGTGGAAACAGAAAATAGAAAGCAGTAGGGAGAAAAAGATACAGAGAGGAGGGAAAGGAGGATGGAGCAACACAGAGAAAGGCTTGCGCCCAAGGTACAATAATGGCAGAGGGAAATCTAACATTCCAGGTTGTTTGTATTGCTGCTTTGTAAATCCCTCTGCTGCAGACATACATACACACACACATACACACACACACACCCCTCACACACCTCTTCTGTAAATATTATTGGCTTTTAATCTATTTTTTTTTAATTTTGTGGGCTTTAAAGAAAAGGGAGGATTTCCATATTTCCATTACTGCAGGGTGAAGGGTGGAGAGTGGGCATAGAACTGGCAGAAAATGCCTAAGCCAAATGGCTTCAAATGAAGCAATGACCACAAGAACATTAAGGAATTTGGAAATTTTTTAAAACCTATGAAATTCATGTAACAGCTAGACATGTGTGACAGTTTCATAGTTTTAAACTTAATCTATCCTAAAATGTTCTTGATTTAATATATTATCATTTTATTTTAGTGCCAGTGTAACCTCAATATATTATTTTACTTTGTTTTACATATTATCAATTTAATGTATTATCATTGTATTTTAATGCCAGTGCAACCTCCCTGTCAATCCATAGAGATACTCCTCAGTGTTCAAGAATTTCCTGATAAATTGTAATTGACATGCTCCAATTTAATAGATGTACTCTTCCTCAGCATTTCTTAAAGAATTAACAGTCTGGTGTGGTGGCTCACAGCTGTAGGAGGATTGCTTGATGTCAGGAGTTCAAGACCAGCCTGGGCAGCATAGTGAGACCCTGTCCCTACCAAAAAATCAAACTAAAAATTCAACTTTATATACAATAGGTCTAAATGAATAATCAGATACACATAATCTTATTAAAGAAACATATTTAAATGTTCACGATTCAAATCATTTTTTCTAGTTATAAACTCCAATTATTTTGACTGTTGATTACATATATTCCAACTTTGTACATTTTTGTTCTTTTAAAGTAAGAGTTCAGAAGTCTGCCTAGTAACTGGTACCACATGTGAATCAATGAACACTGTAAAACTCTCCCCATAAATCAATGTAAGCATATGGTGACAAACTGAAAGACTGAACACTATTACCATTTCTAAACTTAAAAGTGAATCATTTGATTTCTTTTCAGGCTGTTTAGACAACGTATTTTTCTGTTCCTTAACACTTCAACCTCATGATGACACTTAAGATTTTACAGCAGCTAGAATTTGCTCCTCACTTCCTATATTTGATTCTCTCATTCATCTAAAAGGGGAGTTTAGGAAGCTGACAGTGACTCATCAACCTAATTGGCTGTAAAATTTCATTATGCTATAGTTTCTAAAGTTAGTGTTAACGTATTGCTATAAAGTGCTAAATATTGTCAAAGGCTGTATGTCAGCTAACCATTTTAAATATCACCGATTGTAGAGTTGTGATGTGTTCTAGTGTATAGCTCAAAATTAACAGCATAGAGCAAAGTGTTTGCATGGTGAGACAGGAATTCAGCCTCCTAAATTTTATAGGAAGATTGTTTTACATCTTCATTAATGAAATCTAAATCTTGTGATTAGATCTCAGGTTCCCAGAAAATAATAAATTTTTACTCGTCTAAGAAATAAGCACACGTACTTTAGTTAAGGTCTTTCACACTTTGTGGTGTATATTCTTGGGTTTTGTTCCTTTTCAGTAAAAAAAAAAAAGGCAAATTGGCTTAAGTTGGCAAAACATTGTATATGTTACAATGTAAGTTCCTAAGATGAGTCTAAGAGAAATTTCAGACTCTTTGATGCATTGTGGTTGCAAAGCATTGCTTTCTAAGAATTTCCCATTTCTCAGGATAGAGTTCAGTTTTCTAAGCTAAAATGTCAGAGGGCTAATTTAATTGTCCCGAAATTAGGCATATAAAACTTCTAACACCAATGCAATGATAGTCCAATAAGCAGTTGGTCAATCCAAGTAAAAAACAAATGGAAGTCATACCAGTTGCTTAATTCCTGAGAAATCAAACATCTGATTTGTTGCCTTTTTCTTACAACCATCTCAGCTTGGAGTATAAATAATCCAACAATCTAAATTTGTAGATTAAGAAGTATTTGTTAAAGTTTCTCCCTGAATTTTTCTGAATTATGAAGCAACTATTTTAAATAATTAAGTCAGTTTCTTGGAG